GAGGGGGGCGGGGGAGGGAGGGAGGGGGGAGGCAGGGTGGGGGGGGGGGGGGTGGCACGGTCGCACCCGATCACATATATCTATACATATATGTAGATACACATAAAGCAGCTGGGATTCATGCACTACGTTAACGCCATGGTCGTAGGGGTCAAAGGCACATGTCTTGGGGAATTCTTGCCCCGTGTGATGTCTCTAGTCGTCAGCATGAACAGCTGCTGAGATCTACTGAGCAATGAAGACCTCACTTCACTCAGCGCCTTTAGCGCACTTTTGTTCTGCAAAAGGGGGTGGCAGCATTCCCTTGTCTGCTGCGCAGCATACTATTCAACTATCAAACGACGTGATAACCTCTGCCGACTGAAGGAACCAGTCCTGCGAATTGGAGGCATGGTGCCCCCTAGGAGCGAGTTTGACACAGGTGGCGAAGTACTCTGAGCCTAAATCCAAGAGTCAAGTGCCTTGGGCGCTATAAACATGCAGAGCCAACTTGTGTAGAGCCAACTGCCATGCTCCCAGATCACCTCTGGGATCACAATGTCACAAGGTGAAGTCGTCCGAATGGGAAGCCGCCAAACTCTGGCAAGCCCCCAAAATCATGTTGATCTTTGGCTCCTGGGTGCATCTGCTTTGACAAAACCCGAAAAACACTCCCAGCCTTCCGCCCCTGCACCCTTAACCGCAAGCCCCATAAGCACCAAACCCCACAACCGCAACCCCGAAACCCCAAAAGCGTAAACCCTAAATGCCAAACCCCAAACCCTGAACCTTGCGCCCAGAGAACCCTCGCGGCCAAGTTGCTAGCTGGGCTAGACGTTGCTCCACTTCGTACACTTGCTCCCGATACCTGCATGCACGGCTGGAAGGCTCCGGTGGCATGCAAAACTATTTACGAGTGTTTAATATGCCGATAGGTCTAACCATCTATGGGAAGACGATATGTCCTTTAGTCATGGGAGTTGACTGTGCAGAACTCGGAGAACTGATCGGTGAGAGGTGTGGAACCCTCCAAAATCTCCGGCTGGGGTAGGCGCCCACCAATGCAACCATCAAGGATGCTATGGATGCAGACACCCCCAGGGAGACAGACGCAAACTTAATTATAATCTAAACCGGGGCACGAACATCACTGCTGATTCCTGGACATACATACTATGTAAACTTGGTAACTTGGTGGCCAGCGATACTAGGAGTTGTAGGCAGCCAATGTGGCAAAGCCCTGCAACAGCCTCAGACACATACCCAAAGACGTAAAATCTTACAGAGAGCTTTTCTAGAACAGCACAGCCCAACAGGAACAACTTCCCAAAGCCATACGCTACCCAGAACTAGACCGGCGCCAGGGAACTTCATCTGATGCCGCTGAAGGCCGAAAACATCCACAGCTCGTGCTGGGCCATGCCTCCCGTACTTGTTAGCGCCCTTTGCTTGAGGTCATGGCGAGTTCTATTCTGAGCCTGATCTATATCATGGCATGGTTCTGCAGCGGGACCAGATGCTTCTGAATGCCCCTTACCTTCGACGGAAACATGGCCAGGGGCTAGCCGGCTACCCTAAAATGCACCTGCAGAATCTGGAAGCAAAACCACCTGAAAACCGATAGTGGTGGACTGCGGCCGAAGGGGCAGCTGCATGCACCGCTCCGTAAACTCGTCCACGCTGATGACGTAGTCGCCATCCACGTCAAGGCCTGCAGCTCAGGGCGTCGCCGTTCCGACCAGCCTTGCTATCAGAATTTGGGGAATAAGGCAGTACGGCCCTTCGTATGCACTATTGCCAGAAAAAGCCTAAATGCAAACATGTCTCCCTGAATGATCTAAGGTTAAGCTGGGATTTGGGGCTTCGGGTTCAAACAATGTGGTTTGCTGTTTCTTTCTCGTGCTGGGGGTGTGCACATAGCACGCTTTGCATGCGTGACTTGCAGCCGCCGGGACTGTATCATTGTAACACCTGGGTAGCTTCCTATTTCAGAAATACATTCTAAGAATGGCTACCAGTAAGTGAGTGCAGGAGAATCTTGTGGCGGCCTCCTCCTCAACTGCAATGCTTGATTGCAGTGCGTGTAAAAGCTGTCGAAATTCTCCAGAAAACTCACAAAACAAAAATAAATAAAAAAAACAAATAAATACACATATATATATATATATACACGTAAGAATCTTGTGGACAAGTACATGCACAAATAGACAAGCCCATCTTTCTAGAACAAAAAACACCTACAAATACATTATACAGTCCTTAGAAGCCTCTGAATGACTAAAAATCTCGCATCCGTGGAATTCCATGGGCCACCTTGGGCCGTCAAAGTGGGAAAGATCCCAGGGCTTGTTCCCAAGTGCCCCAAACTTCCACAACTTGTTGCGATTCATGTCTGCTGAAGTTTGGATGTATAAAATGTACACCAAAGACAGATTGTGTAGTCCTTTGCGCAATCATTCCGGGAGGCTTTGGGGGAGTCAGTGTTCTGGAGCACATTAGCTTGATGCTTTGGGAGCCAAGCTGCTCGCGAAAAGGGTCCAAGCATCAACGGCATTGATCTCGGCCGTCTCCTCAGTTCCATGTGCCAAGGCAACGTCTTGGGGCACCCTCCCACATACATCCTCCAAAGCTTATAGAGTGTAGGGCTCAGGGCTAGATTGCGGCGTTCCGGTCACGGTTTCCGGAACCCTAACGCATCCCCCGAAGCATTCTTAGGGGCATCAGGGTTTAGGCTGGAAACTGAAATCTACTACGGAGTTCGTAAGGCTCACAGGCGTGACTTTGTTGGTTGCCGTGCGGACGTGTCGCAAGGAAGGCTTTCATTGCCTCATCGTCGAATAAGCGCTCGAACCTCAGCATCACTGACCCTGACGACGGGTTTTACTCCAGCGCCCTTAGCCGCTACTAAACCCTAGACATCCCTAGACTCTAAACCCAAAGCCCTCAGGCCTAAACCCTGAAAGCCCTTCCCCACAAATGTTTTAGAACCATAAAAACTCTTTGTACTATACCCTATGCCCTTTTGGATTCGTACACTGCACCCTAAACTAAGCCATACTAGGCCTCAATCTCCAAGAAGCTCTGAAATGGTGATGCGCCCAAGCCCACTGCCTTGGCAAACACGATGCAGATGGAAAGTCTTCGGCTCATGCAGTGGGGCTCTGGGATGTTGGAGGCGGGGTAATTGGGTTTAGGGTCTATAGGGCTTGGGGTTTAAGGTTTATAGGGTTTGACATGATGCCCCTTTCGTGTTGACAGGGCTTATAAGGGAACCTAGTCCTAGTCAACTGCATGCTTCGTGAAACAAGCTTCGGAACTTGACCAGCATCACAACCAAGTCGCTGTCCATCTTGCTGAACAGATCGTGGGCCAACTGCCGAAATTCATGGCGGTTTTGCCTCGGCTTCAATCTACAACATTTTTCAATGTGTGTGTGTGTGTGTGTGTGTGTGTGTGTGGGGGGGGGGGGCGGGGTGTTTGCTTTGAAGCACGACGTCGACATGACGCAGGCCTGAAACAATATTGTCTTTTTCACAACCGAAACATCAGGACTAATTTTGGCATGCCTCAAGATTCCCATGCAATGCTGCTTTTGCATGGTGAGCGCGATGGTTCTTTTTGCGGCAGGTCATGTTGATGTTGATGTTGATGTTGATGCATTTGCAAGCCCACCCCTGCCAATGCAACCTAAAACAGTTACATGCAAACTCTCAGAACATGTAGCATTTCTTCGTCCATTGATTGTAATATGCAGGGTAACCGCTTGGTTACTTCTGCGTGCTTTCTTCATGTGCTGCGCGTTGTCTTCCATTGAGAACGTGGCCTTCGTTGAAGAAGGCTCAACGATGTTCCACCTTGCATGTGCACGTTGTTAGTGCGTCTTCTCGTTGTCTGGTGGTTCGTCTGCCTGTTGTTGCCAGCAAGTTGCGACCAGTAAAAAAACACTGCTCACGTGCTGCCCAGCTGCATCAGCGTGTCATGGTCTCGCTCCGCAGCTTTTATTGCCGAGTTGCAGAACACCCCAGTCATGACGTTCCTGCAGAAGAAAACTTTGACGATGGCACCCACTCAACCACATGCGGCTGCATGGGCGGGGGCAGCCACCAGCTTGTGCAGCACCAGCGTGCTGCTGACTCAACGTTCCACTCGCCGTGGAAGAGTTAGTGGGAATTAGTAGGTTCACAAAACCTGCTGCTGCAGTGTCACAACGTGGAAAAGAGACTGCATGCACAACGCTCACCGAGTGGCAAGAGCCAAGCAAGGGGTGTGTGCAAACCAGGACCTAAAGGGCCTATAACAGAACCACAAGGATGTGGAAACAAGCTCTGAGCGCCAGAGCAGAAGCAAGGCAGTTTAGTGCCATCTTTCTTGCAGGATGAGCTTCCTGCAATACACTTGCCAGCCTAAGACCTGATTGTCAGCGAAATCAGGTGGCTTCTTCTTTGGCCACCCTAAACGCTTCTGCAACGGGCAGCTGGGAACACGGGGAGGTAAACGACCTCCTTCATCACGACGATGGGTGCACTCCCAAACGACGTGATTCAAGTCAGCCCCTTCCTGGCGGCAGAAAGTACAAACATGAACTGGAGCTGCAGAACACCCCAGTCATGACGTTCCTGCAAAGAAAGAAAGAATGTTAGACTATGACGAATGCCTCACGGGGAGCGCCCCCGGGCAACACGCCAGCTTTGCAAGCTGACAGCAAGCAAACAACCTCGTAGTTGGCAATGAGGCAGCGACACGGGCAGGCTCTTTGTCACTGTCACTTTAGTTGTGTCGGCTGACACTGCCAAAACAACACCCTGTTAAGAACACATATCCAAAGTATGACGCGTCAGCGGACGACGTCAAAGCATCCTCAAGAAATTTGAACCACCTAAAATTTTCCTATAACCTCAACCCTTGCGGCTGACCATCGTCACGTTCCTGCTGCTACAAAAAACTGTTCCAGTGACAGAAGCCCCCAATTGGACGGGACACCACTAAAGGCCTTCATACAGGGAGCCATTTAGCATGGCTGCTGAAGCAGCTGGTGGCAGGGAGAAAAACCTGTGACACCAACTATGCACACATCCAAACTGCCTGTATCAAAACAAACAAAAACAACCAACAGGTACAACCTCAACCAAACTATCTGTCCCACATATTCCGCCGTGTCTGGTAAAAGGACTTTGTTGTGCAAATACCCCAAAACAGGCAAACACACAACCGGAGGCCAACTAGAAGACCTATGTAAACTCACTTCGGCAGAAAACTGCCAGACTCACGCACTACCGTGGCCCTAAAGGAAAAGGATGACAAGACACAATGCCCAAAAGAAGAGCGTCAACAGTCCAGGCTAGGAAGGGAAAGTTGCATCTGGACTGATTAGGGTCTGAAGCTTGACTCCAAGATTCCATGTCCAATCAGCCCTAAGCCTACCGACCCCCCCCCCCCCCCCCGCTCCGTTCCACCCATAACTCTGCAGCTCAGGGGCAGGACAGCAAAGGTGCAGAAGCACACATAAAAATTAAAAATCCATTCCCAGAGCCTGAGCTGAAGATGGTTTGCCAGTACCGTCTTTATGGTGTTTGGCAGTATCGTAAAAACCCCCCAAAGAATTTGAGACCGAAAGTAGCACGATAGGGAGAATTTTGCTCATCCTTGCAACTTAAACATGCTTCATCCCCGGGAGAAGTGCAAGATCAAAAAGTGCTCCTATCGAAGCCAAGAGACGTACCGATCTTTTGCAAAGCGTCGGCTGCGATCCACCAGTCTTCGCCGCCCAAGATTGCCCTGGCATCGTGGGATCCTATGGTTTGGGGTACCTCCCAGAACAAGGCCCTAGTACTCCTTAAAACAAGCAATGAAACCGCATTGGGGCCAATCTAGAGGCTGGCAATTCATCAATTCAGAAGGCTGGCCTGGCGTCCCGAAATCCTCAAAACCCAAACTAAAGCCACTAAAGCCCTACAACCCTAAACCCGCAGTCTCAAATCCCCAAACAACTCTCAGCCCTATAGTCGGCTTGAACATCATGAAAGCATTCAATGCAAACGCCCAAACCCCTCGATCCGTAAGTGTGAATGCACGAGCGCCTATGGCTCTGCTTGTTTGAGTTGCGCTTGCAGAAAGGGTTCAGGGTTTGGGGTACAGGGTTTGGTGGGTTCAGGATTTATTGGGGTTTACATGGGGCGCGTGACGTTTTTTCTCTCGGGTTGTTCGGCTTCGGGTGTATGCTTGAGGCTGGTACGATCCCGGGCTACTTTCTTCATGTACGGTTAGAGGGATCCCATAGGAGTACTATGGGAACGTTGCAAGGGTTTAGGGCTTGGACCTTGGAGCTTGGGTATTTCGGAAGCTTGGGGGACCGCTTCAGAAAGGTACGTGTGCCTATAAACGGGCCTGGAGTAGGAAGGGGACGGTTTTGCCAAAGGGGAGAGCTCAGGGTTGAAAATCGGAAACATCGATTGCAAGGGGGCTTCAGATCATGAGCTTTGCCTTGGTAGCTGTCCCACTGTGCAAACCATCCAGGACTCTGTCTGGTAAGGGTCTTCTTTGGCAGGGCATGTGATGATGGCTATGTTCCCGAGCAGGTGTGCCCCCCCCCCCCCCCTTAAATGAAGACATTACAAGTTTCTGTTCTGGAAGCTAGGTTTCGCGAATCTCGAGGGAACACTGCAAACCCAATTCACGGACAGGCCTCGCCTCAACAAGGTGTTCACCGACCTGGACAAGGTGCCTCGAGCTCACGGTACGCCGGTTTGGGTCCAGCCCTAAACACCCCCCAGGCCCTGGTCACACCTGAGATCCCCTATTCGGAATCCTTTCTAAATCATAAAGCCCGAGTGCTGGTCAACAGCCCTAGAATCAAGCCTCAGACCCTACAAGCCCGCAGCCCTGGTCCCGAAGCCCCAAATCCGAAAGCCTGAACACTGTTTTAAAAACACACCTACGCATCCTGAGCACCATATAAGGCCCGGCGTCCGAAATGGGACTCCAGCGTCGGCGGCGGGTCGTTAAAAAACGCGTAGTCAATAGCAGCGTCAGTGAAAAGTATCGCAAACGTGTAGATGATCAAGCACAGAAGCCTGGGTTGAGACTGTACTGGGCTAGAGGCAGAGCCAAGGCAGGTTCAATCCAAGGGAATTAATGTTGCGTTATATCTCATGTGCTTGAACAACGGTAGCCAGGTAAATCGTCAACAAGTACACCACATTCCCCAGGACTCGAAAGGCCCCAGGGATGGACGTCAGGGGCCAGACTGGCTGGAACTGCGAATTCGGGTTTCGGGTTGCGAGCTGTTTCTTATAATTAAGGCTGAAGACTTTGTACCTGAAGTCCTAGAGAAATGCTCATGCTACTATAAAGATTGATTGCTCGGGGCTTATAAGAGCTTCTACATAGTTGGGAACTTGCAAATGACCTGCGAAGTATTTGGACTTGCTTTTGGGTCTCAGTAGCACTGTGTGGGTCTACGACAGTGAGAGCTGGCAAGGACTGTACGTGGATTGTTTGAGAGCCGCCTATTCAGAAAAACACCCTGCATGTCCCGACAATCTCAAACCTCCTACAGTAGATGTATCCACGCTACATGATGTGCCTCTCGAGAAAACGCTTACAAGACTATCCTAGATTGTTCGAAAAGATGCGAGCGCAATGCTGATGACTCACTGATGCGACCTTGTAACCCAATCTCAGACTTCAATCCTTGAATCCTGTAACCTCCCACGCCCCGAGCGAACCTCCCCCTTGCTACTTCAGCCCCCTCCATAGATACTTTGGCCAAACCCCACAAAGCTCGAGCACGATACCCACCCTTACGCCCTAAACTGCCCTAAACCCCTACCCTTTTGAACGTCCACCCTATGTGCTACAGTAAGCCCCCTAAGAACCCCTAAGAACTCCTCAGCCCCTATAGAGCCAAGGCGCACCAGGGCCCAAAAGAGAGACTTCAGCGTGTCCACCAAGGAGTTGACCAGCTGCCGCAGGGCCTTGATGGAGCGAACCACCCTGGGCGCTCAGGGACTTCGGGACTTTTTGAGGGCTTTTTGGAGGGCTTTTGAAGGGGCTCTGGGGATGATTCTAGGGTCTGTAGGGTCGAAAGGGTCTTGAAGGGGTTTGGTACGTTTGAAGGGTCTAGAGTTTGAGTCTGGGGGTTTGCTAGGGCTTGGATTTTAGGAGGTTGAAAGGTTTACGTGTGTAAAGGGTTTAATGGGCTGTAAGGATCAGGGGTGGGTGGCTACTGTTTGCCTAGGCCTAAGCGTGAAGCCGTTAAGGCCCGCGGAATCCACAACATCTTGGCATTCAGGGCATAAAGTTCAGGGAGGTTTCCCCCCCCCCCCCCCCCACCTACACCCCCCCCCCCGCCCCACCCCCCGAAACCGCACATTTAAGGTTTGGGGCTTTAAGGCCTATAGGATCCGTAACGAGACCGTAAAACCAAAATACCAAGCCCCTGAATGGGCCCAAAGCCCCCAAACCCAAACATAAACCCCCCAACGACCAAAAAGTCCTAAGCCCTATACACCCAAATATGCAGAACAACCCCCAAAAAACGAGTCCGAAATCCTTAAAAGCAATCCCAAACCCCAAAACCCTTTTGCTGCGGAGACTCCAGAGCGAGCCGACGACACGCAGCAGCCGCCCGACCCGGAACACGCGGAAGATGCGCAGTTGGGAGTTGTTCCTGAGCTTTGGGTGAAGGGTTCTAAGGGTTTTTAAGGGCTCTAAGGGCTTCAAGGGTTTTAAGGGTTTTAAGGGCTTCAAGGGTTTTAAGGGTTTAAAGGGTTTTAAGGGTTTTAAGGGTTTTAAGTGTTTGGGGTTTGCGGTGTAGGCTTTGTGGTTTAAGGCTCAGGCTTCAAACAATGCTCTCTGCCTGTGTCTCCGCTCTAGTAGTATGTTTTCATGAATTCCGTATACCTTCATGTATCCAGCAATTAGGCCAGCAGCCGCACTTCACTCAACTAAGTTTGCTGAAAGGACTCTGCCAAATCTAAACCGATAGACCCCAAACCCTAAACCCTATTGCATGGACGCCTTTTGATTGTACCCTAAGCTCTCAGGAAAAAACTAACACAGAGATCCCTGGAGGGTTCTCAGGGTTTATTGTGGTAATCTAGGCTTATGTTTTAGGACCTAGAACCTGGTTTAGCATCTAAGGTTTAGGACTTGAAGGTCCAGACCAAGCCCTAAAAACCATCGAAGCAGGCCCAAGACGCGCTTCGTCCAGGCCAGCCGTGGCCAGAAGCTCAACTCCAATGACGAACCATGAGGTGCTCACCTTGTGGGAGGGCAACTATAAGATTTGAGGGTTTAGGGTTTAGGGTTTAGTGTTTAGGGTTGAAGGGTTTGGTGTTTCAGAGCTTTGGGCTTGGAAATAGGCTTGAGTAAGCTGGAACCCCCACTCGCTACCACCTAAGACAGGAAATCCAACCACATCACGCCGATTCATCGGACAGTGCAGGCGCAGGACCACAAAAATGTCGAGCCAATTCCTTGGCAGCAGACGAGGAAAGTGTGGCAGCAACAAAGTGATTCGTTTGGGGTGAAAAAGTTTAGGACTTTGGGCCCACCTAAACCCCTCAACTCTAAACCCACGCCAAAGATCAACAGGGCGAATGCCAGAGTTTGGAACTCTAAAGGCCCCTGCGCCCCGTAAAACCTTAATGCTGCAGGGCTCCCCTATAGCCCTGAAGACCCGAAACCCCAAACCCATGCAGTATATGATATATATATATAATATATATATGTATGTGCACATCTTGTGGTCCCTAAACCTGAATCAAGGATTGTAATCATTGTTCTAACCGTTGTTGGGTTTGCTTGTAAGCTTCTTTTCGGACTCTTACAAGCGAAGCTGTCCACAAGGAACTGTCCTTGACTGAACAATATATGAATCCCAAACCCGAAGCCCGAAGTTCCAAACTGTCAACCCCGAACCCTAAGCCCCAAACCTTCTGAAATTTACCCTGAAGAAGGGGCATGAAACCCGCAACCCCAGAAATCGAGCCTTGAACTTCGAACCATATAGTCCCAACAACCTTCAACTCCTAACCTCGACACTCTAAACCCTGAACTCCGAACCCTAATCCCCAAGCCTCAAAGTTTATGAAGCCCCCGAACACGGAATCTGAACCCGAAGCTATTATATGTATGTGTACATATATATATATATACATATGTATGTATGTATGTATCTGTGTATGCTAGACACTAACTCTGAACCCCAGACACACTGAGGTCTATGTAAACCCATGGCCTTATACAGTCCTAACCCCGCCCCCCCCCCCCCCCCCCCCCGCGCCGCTAAAGTTTAGTTCTGAAAGCCTTAACCCCTGAACCCTGCAGCCAGCCATCCAGAGTCGATCGCGCCCGCACACGTAGCTGCGGCACCCCACAGCCACAAGCCTTGGGGCGGGGGGGCGGGGCACTGGGTTCGGGTTCGAAGTATTTATAGGGTTCAGGGTTTAGCGAGTGCAAGGTGTGCCCAAGAGGCTTTGCGATAAAAAAGTAAGTACCCCCCTCCCCACACCCCCCCCCCCCCCCCCCCCCCCCCCACACAAAAAAAAGGGGAGGCTGCTTCATAGAGGTCCGGACATTTTCGGTGGTTGACGACTGCCTTTTCCGTTTTGCTAGGATATTTCGATATGGCCTGCGGCGCCGTAGTAGCTACCACACCCGCCCAGCCCTTTTGTGGCGGTTCAGGGTTTAGGGTTTAGGCTTGAACTCTGAAATGTAACCCTAAAACCCACCCCTAAACCCCCCCTTTACTTTGAGATCTTCGTCACGCCATGGGGCCGGATGCCCACCTCGATCGAGAAGAGAACCTTCCGGGAAGTGGCAGCGCTTAGAACTTTCTTTTCGGAAGAAGAAGGCACCCCAAAATACCAGATTCCAACCGGGATTTTGGGTAGCGCCGCAGCGCCCTCCCCCTTCCCCCGCACCCCCCGAGAAAACAACACACACACACACACACACAAACACACACCCCTACCTCAATAAGCTGGCTCCATGGGCTTTAGGGTTCTGGGGCGATCATGTCCGTCAGGGGTCGGTCGATTCACCCCTCATGACCGGCTACTTCCGTGGTTTAAACCTTCCAAGGCCTGAAGCCCAAGACCCGAAGCCCTAAAGTCGCTGCATGCTGGTCTCCACACATCTGGGATCGTAAGATCCCCCCGTGGTATGGGGCTGAGCATTTCCCTTGCTAGGATCCTTACTTCTCAACTTGCGATTCTTGATCTGTTCGATGGATATTGCAATGGCGATTCTCATGATGATTGTGACTTTTTGTTCTTGATTGCAGCAGCCGGTGCACCTCGAGCACTTGTGGCTTCAGGTTTTAGGTTTAGGGCTGAAGGTGGGTTGGCTTACGGTTATAAGTTTAGGGTTGAGGGCTTGGGGTCTATAGAAACTCTCGGAACCAGGGTCCGGATGTTAGTAGACCATATTTAGTAGAGCGCGGAAGAAAGGTTGGGATTCAAGGGCCAGCCAAGCAGCTGCAAAAATCAGCTGGACTGTGAGTGAGTCGCCGCCAATGGCCGCTGTTCCTGAAGGGTTCGGGGGAGTGGTAGGGCATGGATTAGAGTTTCTGGCTACTTGAACATAGCAGCTCTTCATACCCCCAAATCCAACATGCTCATTCCAAACCCTAACACCAAACAGCATCCTTTCTGGGTGTAAGTTTCCAGGTATGTGACAGCGCCCGTTTTTGGGCGTAATTTTCCAGGTGGGTAAACAGGTGGGTAAACAGCATCCGTTTTGGGGGGAGTACTTTACTTGGTAAGTGAGCATCAGAAGGAAGCAAGCTCTTGGCCCACTCTGGTATATTACAGACAGACTGGGAACGCAAAGACGCGGAGGATCGAAGCAAAACAAAAAATGCGCAGGGACTGCTACACCTAGTGGATACTAGGGCGACAGGAGTCTATGAAGAGAGGCTCCAAGATCAATGGGTGACACTTTCGTCCTGTTACTGGGAGCGTGGGGAGGGGGAGGGGGGGCATCCGGATGGGGGAGTGGGGATGGGGGAGGGGACCAACATTACTAACCCTACACAAATCCGAGGGCCCCATGGCTTTAAGGTTTGTGATTTGTGGCTTTAGGGTTCCAGGCGTCCGGGTTTAGGATTTGAGGCTTCTGCATCTTGACTGTACTAAGTTTCTAAACAACACTCATAGTGACAGCAGTGGACATTCGCCGAGTGGCGGGATTCTTTGTCCCACTGTAGCTGAATGCCCAGGTAGACCGCCTTGGGGCAAGGGGCATCGGTTGGAGCGCGAGTGGAAACACTAAGGTGTGAGCCGGGTAAAAATGGAGGCGTCAGTCAGAAATCCAAAAGAGCGGAAGCGCGAGTTGGGAAGAAAAAATGTGCGAGCCAAGGACATTTGGAGGACAAAGGGGAGGAACCCAGGGAAAACCGGGCCCGCGAAGGGCCCAGGACCCGAAACCCAGTGGTTTAGAGTTTTGTTTTGGTTTGAGGCCTTAGAACTTTAGGGTTTGGCCGAACTCCGCAGAACAAGGCCAAGCGCCGGATCGCCCCCTCATGAGCCCCAAAGCAGCACCCTAAACCAACCCTTCTTCCTGAACCCTGTAACTCCTAATGTCCTTGTTACCCGCAACCGCTATAAACCCTACGCTCCGGGTGGCATTCGTGAGGATCACCACGGCGAAGAGAAGTTCGAAAGCCACCCTGGGGTGCAGGGTTTGGAGGCTTTAGAGGCTTTGGAGGGGAGGCTCAAAGCTCAGAAGATTAGGGCTTTTAGGGCCTTAATTGGGATTAGGAGCTTCGTCGGCTGCATCCCCTCCTCCTACTTCCCCCGCAAAAAACGTATAGTTGCCGTATAAATGTCGGGTGTTCTGTAGATGCGGAGGGGCTTGTCGGGCCTGGTATAACGGAAGCTATTCTATAGCCACCCAGACGAAACTGAAGGCGCCATGTTCACCCCTGAGAGAAGCAGCCGTTGCACTTGTGCTTGGACAACTTTGGGCCTTAATCAAAATCATCTGCGCGAATTTGCGGAATGCTGGAAGTCTCTACCCGAAGCTCCGAACCTTGACTAGCCCTGCAAGACTTTACTAGCGAGCACTATCACAAACATCACTGAAACCACTACAATACATAGTCTGAAGCTGCCCGGGTCCGGAGCTACGTTACCCAAACGCCAAACTCCCAAAACATGAAACGCGTACCCGCCAAGCCCCATAAACCCAAAACCCTATCAAGCCCTCCACCCTATGAACCACCATCAAAGCCTACACTAAGCCCAAAGCCCAAAGTCCTGTACAACCCTAAACCCGACAAGCGCTGAGACCCTCAATCCAAGGCTGTGGGGCGAATTGGCCACCAAGTGTGCCAGCGCCCGCAGGCGTCCCAGCTTTCCCTCCTGCGTGCTCTTTGGGATTAAGGTTTGGGTTTCAGGGTTTCAGTGTTTTGGGGTTTTGGGGTTTTGGGGTTTTAGGGCTTTAAGGTGAGATGCATGGCTTTGAAACACAAAATGGAGAAGACTGGGGACTTCACTTGCAAGGCCCGCGCCGAGTTTCTTCGGCTGCTCAGATTGAGGGAGTGACTCGGCACTAGATGGCCTGCAGCCGCAACCCAAATAAGAAATCCTGCGCCCGAATCCCAAAGGAGCAGCCTGGATGCAACCCTGATCTTCAGTGCCACAAGGGAGACGCTGTCCCAGATTCCCTGAACTCTCGAAGCTCAGGCTTTGGATTGTGTAGGGCTTAGGGGTTCCTCCTCCCCTCCCTTGCTTTCCCCCAACAGAACGGCGAAGTGACATGGCCGAAACTGGTGCATGTCGCTGGCTCCTTGTCTTCATCCTGCAAAGGAAGGAACTAGGACTGGCGGCTTCTGGCTCTGGTTCAAAGGGAACAATTTGAGTGCTTTCGGGCGTTCTTCCATCTCAAGCCCACTCTTCATCCAAATCAAAAGCCGGTGTCCTAAAGTCGTGGGACTTAGGCTGTTGGCAAAGAAACAACACGAACTAGAACGCAAAAACAACTCTAGGCGCCCTGTTCATCCGAGGCCCCAAGATCTTTCCAAACCTAGCACCAACCTCACACCGCAATCGACGAATAGGTTAGATAGCCCTATAACGGGCATGATTCTCTAGGGTTTATAGGGTTTAGGGTTTCAATCCTGAACCCAAGCCGTCGGTAATCGGGGAGTCAGGTAACCCCGAAGTGCCCTGAAGCCCCGACGTATTTGAGGACGCCATCCAACTCTGGACCTCCACTGGAGGGACCCTAGCCTGTTAACTGCGAAGTAAAACTAACGCCCTAAGACCCTTCAGCCCACCCTAAAAGCCAACAAGCCCTAACATTTTGAAGACTTATATACCCAAAGCTCCCTACCATAAAGCCGGAAAAACTCTCAGCTCCCTGAAGCCCTTCAGCCCAGCCCTTCAGCCCAAATCCTCGCAAAACCTCAACTCCTTGAAGCCCAAAAGCCGGATTGGAGGCTGTCCCAGCCTGCGAAATGACGCCGGAAGCGATCTCCTTGCGGTGGATCCGCGTGCTCTCCTGCTTCTGCGGCTTATGGGCTTTGAGCATTTTGGTGTTGTAGGGATCAGGGATGGAGGTTGGGAGACCTGAAGCAATTTCTGAGGCGTCGCGAAGGTGTTAGGGGCTTGTTATGGTATCGGGTGCGATTCTGGACTTTAGGGTTGGGACGTGGTTCGGGGTTTATCCAGGGGTATGTTAAGGATTTTCTAGGGTTTCTGGGGCTCTGTGCAGTATATCACAACGCACCCAGAAGAACCCAGTCGCCTGTCTTGCGAGCTCGTAGCCTCAGCAGGTGAGCAAACAAATTCCAGCAGGGCTTAAGGTCTTAAGTATATACATACATCTCATTAAACAGATCATACATGATATATAATACATCGTATGTTATATATTAATATACATTATACCATGTATAATATGTGGTAGTCCTAAGAACAACCCCTCAACCCACTAAGCCGCATCGTCATAGAGATGCACGTTCGGAGAATCGGGGTTCAGGGCTTGGACTTAGGAGTTTTGGGGTTATAGGCAAGTTCGAGGGGAGCCTGCAAAGGAACCATGGAAAGCAGCGAACGCAAACCCCAAAGCCACACTGAAAACCCTAAACCCTAAACCCTAAACCCTAAACCCTAAACCCTAAGCCCCGAATACCCCTTCAAGGCGAGGAGCTCTCGGTGCGCTCGACCAATTTGTGGGGAGTGTTGCTCGGCCAACTCGCTTGCCACTCCTCTTGGACTCTTGGGTCTAGGGGTCTAGGGGTTTAGGGTTTAGGGCTTAGGGTTTAGGGTTTAGGGTTTAAAGGATGCTCGTGGCAGGCCAGGCCATAAGAGCATAAGAGGTCGTAGCTGCCACAGGGCACAACAACCCACACAAAACCCCAAAGCTGGCTCTGAAATGTTTTCTTTCTGGGGGGGCTCTACCCTGTCATTGCAGGATGCAGCTTCACGAGGCCCCCCTATCAAGCTGAGTCCCCTAGGGCATTTCGGGTTTAGGGACTTTTCAATGGGGTTCAGGGATTTTCGGTAGAGGGCATGGGGCATATAGGGTATAGGATAGGGCACAGGCTTGCAGTTTCAGGGTTGAATGTTGTGCATACATGAGATTGAGTCTATTGGGGGAGGCACACGACATGATACTGGGGATTTCTTAGGACAATGTAAAAGCCACAATGATATATCGGGAGTTGACGGAGGTGGATGCTACCAGGTCAAGCTTTTCGAGCACACATTTCAACACGTTATAAGAGATTAATCAATAAAGTTTTCGGGTTTCCGGTGGCTGGCCTCCTCGATTCTCATCATGTCGGATCTGGTAGTGTTGATGGCAGACATGTGCAGCGAAGTCGACAGAACCGGCGCATACGAGTCGAAGTGCAACTTGGCGCAAGAAAGCTTGAAGATCTTCGGGCAAACTGCATCCATGCTCAGGCTCAGGCCCCCAACAGACCACCCCACTCCCCCCCCCCCCCGGGCCTTATGGCCCTAAACCGCAGAAGCCCTGTAGCCCCCATACAAACCCTATGTAAGCCTTACAAAGCCGAAGCGCTGCGCTGCAAGAGGGCCTAAATTCAGCCCCAGCTGCCGCTTCAGAAGAAGTCGAACCGCGAAGGGTGCTGTGCAAGCCCTGCCTTAGAAGCCCATCCTGAGCGTTTTGGGTGCAGGGCTTATGGCTTATCAGGTGTAGGGTTAGGGTTTGAAAGGTTTAGAGTTTAGGGTAAGGTCTAGGGTTTAGGGCTTATGGCTTTTCTTGTTGCGGGTTCATACCGTTCATACAGTGCTTTATGGGGCATTGTAGTACGAATTGCACAGGCCTGACGCAGCATCATGCCAAACCCCATACATTCATCTCCCCCTCACAATTGTTTCCCCCGAAACCCTAGAACCCTCAACCCTCCCAGGATAAGCTACTGGCCTCTTAGGGGTATAGCAGCGCATCCTGGTACGCGCTAAAACCCAAAAACCCACACACCAACAACCCTAAACCCTAAACCCGAAAACCCTAAACCCGAAACCCTGAACCCGAACACTCCTGAAGGAAGCCGCAGCACAGGAACCGTTAGCTGACCGCAAGGCGAGAGACGCAGACTTCGGGTTCGCACTTTGAATCACTGAAGCCCTAGATCAAGAAGGGTTTAGGACAAGGGTTGAGGGCATTTAGGGCGCTTTAGGGCTTAGGGTGAAACACCCTGAAGTGGCGCCAGAGATCCAGGCTGTGAAGCCATTGATCCAGTTGCCTCTGCTGCTCATCGCGGTGCTGTTGCCTTGGGCTTTTCAAAAACCCCAACCCCTACCCTATTTCTGCTCAAACAAGGTGCAGGGGAACTCTTCAGATGCTAGGGCTGAGAATTTAAGATTGTGGGGTTGAGGGTTTGAGGCTGATGAGGGTTGGACCGGGTTGGAGGTAAGGTTGTCGGGCCTCGGCTCTACAGGGCACGGAGAGGCGCCCTGGAACAAGAAAGTCCCAACAAAAAAAACCTGAATCCCCCCCAAGCCTCCTTGAGAACCACCTAAACCCCTAAATGCCATGGACCCTATATGAGCCCTGCTGAGCCTATAAACCAGTCAGCTTCAAAGCCCCCCCCCCCCTCATCACCGAAGAAAGAAGCAGCTTTCCTGGCTCCTCTCAACTTAAATCCCCCACAGGGCACAAGACTTCCTTGACCAGCTGGGGAAGTGCGCCCAGTTCGCCCTCCCCCGCCATGTGCAGGCGCTCGGCTCTCTGCTCTGCTTCTGCTTCGCTTCGTCTTTAAAGGAGTTTCGTTTCTCACAGAGTCATGGTGCCGGGTTCAGGGGCCTTGGTCTAAGAATGAACCGCACAGGACTGTGACTCTTGGGGTATGTTACACTGGTTGCTTGAGACCAGAGCCTTCGGCTATCCGCTCCTTATACAGAACATGCTCGAGGATGCTTTGTGTACCTTAACAGCGCAGGAGCTGCGAGCCTCATGACACGGCGGTATTGGTTGATCAATTTTTCCCCAAACAGGAACCGTTTGGGGTCCTCTCCTCAGAAAAAAAAGTGTCACGCGCTTGGCCAGATGGGTGTCACGCGATTCGGGCCTGTGGTCTCCCATGGTCTCCGATCATGAGCGCAATTGGGGCCATTGGGGCCGGCGGGTGTCACGCGCTTCGGGCCTGTGGTCTCCCATTATCTCCGATCATGAGCGCAATTGGGGCCATTGGGGCCGGTGGGTGTCACGCGCTTCGGGCCTGTGGTCTCCCATGGTCTCCGATCATGAGCACAATTGGGGCCATTGGGGCCGGGTGGGTGTCACGCGCCCCAGGGTCTCCGATCATGAGCACAATTGGGGCCATTGGGGCCGGGTGGGTGTCACGCGCTTCGGGCCTGTGGTCTCCCATGGTCTCCGATCATGAGCACAATTGGGGCCATTGGGGCCACGCGCTTCGGGCCCGTGGTCTCCCATCATGGTCTCCGGTCATGAGCACAATTGGGGCCATTGGGGCCGGGTGGGTGTCACGCGCTTCGGGCCTGTCGTCTCCCATGGTCTCCGATCATGAGCACAATTGGGGCCATTGGGGCCGGGTGGGTGTCACGCGCTCGGGCCTGTGGTCTCCCATGGTCTCCGATCATGAGCACAATTGGGGCCATTGGGGTTGGGTGGGTGTCACGCGCTTCGGGCCTGTGGTCTCCCATGGTCTCCGATCATGAGCACAATTGGGGCCATTGGGGCCGGGCGGGTGTGTCACGCGCTTCGGGCCTGTGGTCTCCCATGGTCTCCGATCATGAGCACAATTGGGGCCATTGGGGCCGGGTGGGTGTCACGCGCCCCAGGGTCTCCGATCATGAGCACAATTGGGGCCATTGGGGCCGGGTGGGTGTCACGCGCTTCGGGCCTGTGGTCTCCCATGGTCTCCGATCATGAGCACAATTGGGGCCATTGGGGCCACGCGCTTCGGGCCCGTGGTCTCCCTTCATGGTCTCCGATCATGAGCACAATTGGGGCCATTGGGGCCGGGTGGGTGTCACGCGCTTCGGGCCTGTGGTCTCCCATGGTCTCCGATCATGAGCACAATTGGGGCCATTGGGGCCGGGTGGGTGTCACGCGCTCGGGCCTGTGGTCTCCCATGCTCTCCGATCATGAGCACAGTTGGGGCCATTGGGGTTGGGTGGGTGTCACGCGCTTCGGGCCTGTGGTCTCCCATGGTCTCCGATCATGAGCACAATTGGGGCCATTGGGGTTGGGTGGGTGTCACGCGCTTCGAGCCTGTGGTCTCCCATGGTCTCCGATCATGAGCGCAATTGGGGCCATTGGGGCCGGCGGGTGTCACGCGCTTCTCCCATTATCTCCGATCATGAGCGCAATTGGGGCCATTGGGGCCGGTGGGTGTCACGCGCTTCGGGCCTGTGGTCTCCCATGGTCTCCGATCATGAGCACAATTGGGGCCATTGGGGCCGGGTGGGTGTCACGCGCCCCAGGGTCTCCGATCATGAGCACAATTGGGGCCATTGGGGCCGGGTGGGTGTCACGCGCTTCGGGCCGTGGTCTCCCATCATGGTCTCCGATCATGAGCACAATCGGGGCCATTGGGGCCGGGTGGGTGTCACGCGCTTCGGGCCTGTCGTCTCCCATGGTCTCCGATCATGAGCACATTGGGGCTATTGGGGCCGGGTGGGTGTCACGCGCTCGGGCCTGTGGTCTCCCATGGTCTCCGATCATGAGCACAATTGGGGCCATTGGGGTTGGGTGGGTGTCACGCGCTTCGGGCCTGTGGTCTCCCATGGTCTCCGATCATGAGCACAATTGGGGCCATTGGGGCCGGTGGGTGTCACGCGCTTCGGGCCTGTGGTCTCCCATGGTCTCCGATCATGCGCACAATTGGGGCCATTGGGGCCGGGTGGGTGTCACGCGATCGGGCCTGCGGTCTCCCATCATGGTCTCCGATCATGAGCACAATTGGGGCCCGATTGGGGCCGGGTGGGTGTCACGCGCTTCGGGGCCTGTGGTCTCCCATCGTTTCCGATCATGAGCACAATTGGGGGGTGGGTGGGTGTCACTCTCCCATGGTCTCCGATCATGAGCACAAGTGGGGCCAACTAGCGGGTGGGTGTCACGCGCTTCGGGCCTGGGTGTCGCGCGGTCCATGGTTTCCATGGTCTCTGAAACAAGGGTGTCACGCGCTTGGGTGCGTGGTCTCCCGAGCGTCTCCCGAGCGAAATGGTCCGGGTCCGTGATCTCCACGGTCTCCGATCATGAGCGACCGAGGTTGGGAGGGTGTCACGCGGGTCTGGTCTCCGATCATGAGTGCAGTTGGCTGGGTGGGTGTCACGCGGCTCGGGTGTGCGGTTTTGCATTGTTTTCTGATCATAAGGGTTGAGCGCACTGGGGCCGGGCGGGTGTCACGCGGTTCGGGTCCGTGCTCTCCGTCGTCTCCAGCGCGTTACACGCTTGGGTCCATGGACTCCCATGGTCTCGCGAGCGCAATCTCGGCGGGTGTCACGCGGTCCGGGTTCGTGGTCTCCCATGGTCTCCGATTATGGGGCTGGGCGGGCGTCACGCGGTCCGGCTCTGTGATCTTCATGGTCTCCGATCATGAGCGACAGGGGTTGGGAGGGTGTCGTGCTCTTGGGTTCGTAGATTTCCGTGGTCTCCGATCATGAGCGCAACGGGGCTGGGTGGGTGTCACGCGGTTCGGGTCCGTGGTTCCCCATGCACTCCGATGAGCAACAAGCTTGGGAGGGTGTCACGCGCTGGGTTCGTGGTCTCCCAGATTCTCCGATCTGGGCGGGTGTCGCGTGATCCGGCTCCGTGGTCTCCCATATCTCCCATGAGCGACAGGGGTTGAGAGGGTGTCACGCGCTTGGATTCGTGGTCTCCTATGGTCTCCTATCATGAGCGCAATGGGGCCGGACGGGTGTCACGCGGTTCGGGTCCGTGGCGAGCGACAGGGATTGCGGGGGTGTCGCGCGCTTGGGTCCGTGGTCTCCGATGGTCGATCATGAGTGAATGGGGTGTGACGTGGCATGGTCTCCGATCATGAGCGAGGCGGAGGCAGGGTGGACCCAGAATCAGAAAGAACATGCTCAGATGCATTTTTCAAAGCGGGCAAAATGCATTCGCGCAGCTTGCTCTTTCCACAACCCACAGTCGACTTGAGTTAAAAGCTGATCTTTTGTCGTAAAGACAGAGGCTGCGTACAGAAGAAGCCTCTGTCCAAATGCATTTCTCGCCCGCGCTTTAATGCATTCAGCTGTTTTCGCCTTCTAACAAGTGCACAAAGAGAGCACGGCGTTGCAAATGTGGAAAGCAAGACCAAATGCTTGTTTCAGGCCTGGCAAAATGCATTCGGGCAGCGCTTGGACAGCCATGTCTATTGGGTTGTCTTGTTCCATTACAGCATGAAAACAAGCAAACACAAAACAAAAAAGTCGGTTGGTGTTCTACGACCAACATTTCCCCGACATGCGTCTGAGGGCATTCCACTTGCATTTTTCGTCGCCCGAAAAACGCATTTGGCACTGGTTTCCTATCATGTTGCAATCTTGGGTTCTGCCGGCTCATGACTCCTTCGACATTTGATGTCTTTCTGCGCATAAGAACATCTATATAGGATTTGAACGTGTTTCGAACCATAATCACCGTTTTGCAAAATTCCCGAAAAGGGGCCCAAAATCAGAAGCAACATACCCAGATGCATTTCGCAAAACAGGCAAAATGCATTCGCGCAGCTTGCTCCTTCCAAAGCCACAAGAAAAAAACTCACTTGATAACTGCCTGTGGGTCAAAGACAGAGGTCCCGTACGGAAGAAGCCAAAGTCCGAATGCATTTTTCGCCCGTGCCCAAATGCATTCAGCTGTTTTCGCTTTGAAAAAGTCTAGAAAGAGCACGCGGCCCTGCACATGTGGAAAGCAAGACCAAATGCGTTTTTCAGGCCTGGCAAAATGCATTCGGCAGCGTCTGGTCATCCATGTCTATTGGGTTATCTTTGCATATCTTTGCTCTATTACAGCATGAAAAAAAACGAAGACAAAACAACAAAGTCGGTTGGTGTTTTACGACCAACATTTCCCCGACATGCATCTGAGGGCATTCCACTTGCATTTTTCGTCGCCCGAAAAACGCATCTGGCACTGGTTTCCTATCATGTTGCAATCTTGGGTTCTGCCGGCGCATGACTTCTTCGAAGTTTGATGTCTTTCTGCGCATAAGAACATCTATATAGGATTTGAACGCGTTTAGAACCATCATCACCGTTTTGCAAAATTCCCGAAAAGGGGCCCAAAATCAGAAGCAACATACCCAGATGCATTTCGCAAAACAGGCAAAATGCATTCGCGCAGCTTGCTCCTTCCAAAACCACAATAGAAAAACTCACTTGATAACTGACTTTTGTGTCAAAGACAGAGGCCCCGTGCGGAAGAAACCAAAGTCCGAATGCATTTTTCGCCCCGCGCCCAAATGCATTCAGCTGTTTTCGCTTTGAAAAAGTGCAGAAAGAGCACGCGGCCCTGCACATGTGGAAAGCAAGACCAAATGCGTTTTTCAGGCTTGGCAAAATGCATTCGGCAGCGTCTGGTCATCCATGTCTATTGGGTTATCTTTGCTCCATTACAGCATGAAAAGCAAACTAAAACAAAACAAAAAAGTAGGTTGGGGTTTTACGACCAACATCTACCCGACATGCATGTCTAGGGCATTCCAAATGCATTTTTCGTCGCCCGAAGAGTGCGTTTGGCACTGG